TTTTTTAAATCTCTCTAACCGATTTGTTTTTAAAAAAGTTCAAAGAATCGATAATTAGAACGTTATTGAACTGTATCCCTAGCACAATTAGTTTGCATCGTTTCACCATAAACATGCATGTACTATGTTGTAAAAACGACTTGATTATCTCTAACTAAAAATTATCATCTCTAAATGTTACCACGCATTGACGAATAATTCAAACTATTTTTTTTAGTTCATTCCTATTTTTTTTATTCTATGGCTTTATTCACACAGGAATCATGGAATATAATGGCAATTTCGACGTTTTTATTTGTTGGATGATTTATAATCTTGACTTACTGTCTGGAGAAAACACGAAAACGCGAAATATTTTGTGGAATGGAATAAAAGCGCTAAAAGATTTTAGTTATATTTTACCAACACCAAGATATTCCTATGGATCGTAAAAAGGTTCGCTTTAAAATATTGGCAGTATAAACGATAAAAAAGTTAGCGAAAAGAATAAATTACTGAAAAATTCTGTAGATATTTAAAATCAATGTATAATATTAAAGTAAGAATAATAGAATATGTGTTGGATAAATATGACCAATAAATTATAGAGAAAATTAGCTTTTTAATTATTATTAACTATAGTAATAATAATCGACAAAAACAGTTTTATATATTCATTCAAAATGTCAAAGTATTAAAAATGTTTTAAGTAACGAAGTAGATTTTTATATTTCAACCATCATTCGTGTTCTTCTGAAAAATCGTAATTAAAAAAAAATATTCTATAGCACACATTGTATGATATTATTATTATAAAGCCAAACTTCACTCATTAATAAATCCTCCTTTGTTTGATATAAATAAAACTCCTTGCTTCCACACGATGGAATTATACCGACTTAACTGTAACGGAGAAATTGAATCACAAAAGAGTATTTAATGTACTTCATTGTTTTCTTACAGTGACAGGGTCAGTTTGTTTATCTCGTATTGTTTACCCTTGAATTAAAAGTACAATCGTGTTTGTTTAAATTATACGATAAGTTTTATTAACAAAACAATATAAGTATATATGACACTCATATTTTTTTATCGTTTTAACTTGAAAAGTAGAACGACCCTACGTGTTGTTATAAATGAGTATTATATATAGACAATCGGGTCATTATGGGTAAAGTTGTTTGTTTATTTCCGTCCTGAAAGTAGAGAGTAATTAATAAATACGACTATCTATAAAGAAACTTCTAGAACTTTCACTAGCCATATGACGAAGTTTTCAGTATATGTATATATACTGTTTTACAGTTTATGTAAATTGAATATTACTAATAATAATCATTTGACAGATCACGTGATGTCAGTCACGTTGACAATACAAATAAGAATTAGGGGTCAACTTCATTGCTGTATAATTAAATATTGTAATTTTTTCCTCTTAATAAATATATATGTGATAATAGTCACGTACTTAAACTTTGTTCACAATTAATCTAATTAACATGCCATGCTAGATAAATAGCTGGTTGTGTAATATTTTTAAAATGCGCGGTAATTGCCTACAAAAAGTACCTTTCATTTATTGTTACTTCGTGAACTTTTAAAGATGAAAACTTCTACACAACACTGGCAGAATATACTATGCACGTCTTTACAAGGATGAAGGGCGAAAAACATATTTTAATCAACCAACCAAAGATGAAAACTTAGGAAAGAGTCCGTGCAAGGAACAATATAACTTGTAAAATAATAGTGACCTTTTTAAGAATCTCATGTTCTTATTGAGAAAGCGTCTGAAATATTTTTTATCTATATTTATTATCGTTTTCAAACAAAATTTTCGTCGATTGTGAAATACAGATAACTTAATTTTTTTATTAAAAAATATTTTTAGTAACCAGTTATATTTATAGTAATTATTAATTTAAAATAAATATTTTAATGGTCGTATTTAAATTGATTTATTAAAAAAAAATATTTATTTAATTAATCATAATATAATATACGTATAAAACGTGCTTGGGTCGTCTTAAGAGTACATACCGTTATCATAGCGTCTTATCGGTCGTTAAACTTTTGCCAATCTCGACGATGACGTCACTGTTGTTTTGTACTTAAAAATTCGCTCAAGATATCAATTAGTTCTATGCCCCTACCACGTGTTTGCGTTCTCACACAAAATACGAAGACCACCCATTTTCTTATTCAATAATCTATGTTAATACTAGAATGTGTGAAGATTTATGAGTGAAAAGCGGTCGACAAACTTGTAGTACGGGATACGTGACGATGTGTACTAGTAGTAGGAGTATTGATAGAAAGTTATGATATAATTAACGATAAATCGTATTTTAATATTGATAATAGTATGAATTATATATAATAATATCCACTACTATTGAAATGAAACTAATATTTTTCGGTAATCACGGTTGCTGAATAGTAAACAAAACGTCGGGAGTATGTAGTTTTTTACAATAATAAAATACGTGAAATATTCCGAAAAATTTTAGTTTTATTTAAATGAATACTCGCGGAAATCTTAGATCTCATTACTTATATTTTGTCAATTTTTTTAGAAGTATCAATTGTCTTCTTCTTCTACCTGGCAATTTCCCAGCTTCAGCCAGGATCTGCCTTACGTGTTATGAAATAGTTTTGGCTAATTGTTTTTTGCGACCGGCCGCCTGTATGACATCAACCCTCTTTTGGGAATCAGCATTAATCAGTGATGTCTAAATATTCTTAGAAAGTACATATGACTGGGAAAAATCACATTGGTACTTGCCAGGATCGAACCCGCGCTCTCGGCAACGAGAGGCGGGCCTTCTAACCATCAGGCCAACACTGACTATTAGAAGTATCAATTGTATTTCAAGTTAAAACTATAGAATAAAAAAAAATATTTTGCACCATTAGTGAATTTCAGTGTAAGATTGAATAGTGATGTATCTTATAGATGAAAAATCATTATTGCATCGGTTTTAAACTATTTATACAACTTTTTAAATGACTAAATGACGCCATTTTGATTTCACTTAAGACGTCATTTTATATTCATAAAGACGTCACTTTCGATAAATATATTTATAATCTTTCTAATGATGCTTCACTAAATCAAATCTACATTTAATTAAATCCTTTAATATATAAATAAAAAAAAATATTCACATGATTAGAATATGGGTCTAAAATGTATATGTATACTTATTAAATGTCTATATACATACATATTAAAACATTTTTTTGTTTGGATTGGCATCAGTTAGGAGAGAAAATACATCTTGAGTTCATTTGTCATTATTTGATGACATATTTCAACAAAGATTAACATTGATTATTAACTTGAGTAAATAAATATACTTAAATCTATATGTTTATAATTGAAATTATACAGTTTTTTAATTCTACAACAAGTAATCATGAAAGTTTCTAGAAGTATAATAGATTGTACCTGATTTATCACGATATCATATGAACTATTCCATTTAAATATAACTATATATATTACAAGTCGAGTTGTATCATGACTCATACAATATATTACAGCTATCACCGCTTCTGTAAATATATTTTTCGATAACATTGAATAACAACGCTTTATCAATGTAACATTGGCAACATAAAAATGTTGCATACTCATTATCACTATGGGGTGGCTATCAAGTGGAACGATACCCCAAAACCCGTGGAAAAACAGTCTTTTTACCCCCGTGTCCAATAACACACCTATACACTTAGATTGCTATCATCATGGCATTTATAATCAGTGGTTTTAAATGTACAACATGAAAAGAAACGTACTAAGGTATGAAGAGTTAAATTTAAGTGTATTTTCATAATTCTATTAGTTTAGTGTGAGTTATAATATTTTTAGATAGATAATGTAGTGTGGAATTTTAAATAACACGAAAAATCATTTTGTTGCGTCGTTTTTATTTACTTTTTATAGAAATTTATGCAATACAAACCTATTTGTGATCTGATTAATGGATAGATATTTATGAGAAATAGATAGATTCACAAATAAAGTATTTTTATGTATACATAATAATAAAATTCTTCTTAATTTTAACGCTTAAATAGTTTTTATTTTCTTTTAAATTTGCTTTTGAGAAACCACGCTATAGCTCCGTTGCTAGGATACGGTAACGTGAAAACAAAGGAACAACATGTACCTACATATTATATTGCTTACGAAAACATTACTCACTATGTTTAATAATGAAACATTGCTGATGATCTTTTATTAGGTACAGTGTTACAAAATGAACTGTAGCTATGTCTAAGTAATGTTTTTAGCAAAAATAAAAACAAATAAAAGTGTACCTGAAACATAGGTACTTTGTACATGATTTAGTTTTGAAGATCCCTTTTTAGTAATTATTGTCAGTTACTTTCAATATATTACTTGTGAATTTCGTCATATCCTGTTTCTATAATTATTTTCTTTCAACAACTATACTTCTTATAAAAATAATTTATTGCGAATTCAATTAACAAAGATATTCCAATCTACTGATCCACCTATTTACATAAATTGATACATTAATGTCGTTAGTTTTAATTATCGTCATATAAAGAGTCAAAATAACGATTCGTAAATACCCACGTTATTTCATTTCGAATATATAATAACTGCATAATACACCCCTTTGTGTTTGGTGCGATATGGCTAGCAATTAGATGCCTAGACCGATATACAGTATTACCTACCAGACACCCTACGAAAGTTAACGCCACTGTGCAGTGCGCCTTAATGCAAATATTTTTCTACTTCCAAAAAATAATACAACCTCTTTTTATTTCAAAGCGGTTAATCGTGCACAGATTATATCTAAGATAGCGTACGATGTTGCAATTTAAGTTTTAAACTTCTAGCATGTCTTACGAGTTTAAATCTTATCGTCACTGCTATTTAGAAGTTAAAAGGAAAAAAGTCAAAAAGAAAGTCACGTTTCAGGTAAATCTATGCTTAGGTTGTTGATTTTAAATGCGAGTTAATAGATTTATTTTTATAACAGTTGCCAGCGAGGGAAAGTTTGACGACGCCGAGGAGCGTTCGTGCTCCCGTTGGTAGAAAACCAACAACTCTACCACACCAGCGAGTGAGAAAAGAAAATAAGGAGGTAAGAAGTGTTTACGTAATATTAAAAACTAAGTTTCTTCGATAGAGTGCATGAAGGTTTTATTGTTGAAAGGTTTTATCAAGACTGTAAGGTCAGATAATTTATAACATCAGAAAATGACATAATATCTAACAATGATTTTTAGATCATACAATTATATTTAAATATACCGCACAATATGTTTTTTTGTGTATTACATCGACTCTTATAGAAATCTCCGGAGGGCGCTGCGGAAATGGATTCACCATTGAGTGGTGCTGGTAGCGATCTTCGTCGTCAGAATGAAGAGTTGCGCGCCCGCCTCGCCGGAGAGAGCGCTGACCACAAGCGACGGCTTGAGACTTACAGACGAGCTCAGCAAGGACAGGCGGCTTTAGTGTCTCGACTACAGGCTAAGGTATATTGAAATTATTTATCATGGTTAAATATAATATGTGACTTCAATTTTATCAATGATAAAAATATTAAAGAGAATTCTGAACGCACTTTACGAGCAGATGATATTGACGCTTGTCAATTTGACAATGTTATCAAAACAATTTCAAATGTTTTTATGTTTACCCGTTACCGGATACATCCCATAGTAAATAATAAAACGTTGATATTTAAATCTAGTTAACAATAAACTGCGATCGTTTATGCTAGTACTATCCAGTTCAAGACAAACTACGTTTAAATTGTTGTATAGGTTCTGCAATATAAACAAAGATGTGCAGAACTCGAAAGTCAGATGTTGGAGACGCCGCGAAGCGATCCTCAAGCCAGCTACCGGTCGGCTATCGCGCTGCCAGCCCCGGTGGAGCGCAAGGAGGAAAGGATCGCGGACCTGGACACCGCGCTCAGAAGGATCGAAGAAGAGAAACACAAGTATGGAAGGATTTTAAATAATATTGGAATAACTTCGTGACATTGGCAGAATATGCTGTGCACGTGTTCCCTTTACAATAAAACTTAATAACTGTATTGAATATATAATATTAGTCTTCATTTATTACTTGCCAGTACAGTGTTTGTAGCTTTCATATTAATATAATTGCAAATCAAATAATGTTACTCATACACCTAATAGATATATAATCTTCCAAACAGTTTAGATAAAAATAAAAGACAATTCAAAAATGCTAGTTAATTATATACACTATATTTTGATAATTATATCTGAGTATTCTTGTAAGTATTCATTTAAATGAAATTAATATTTTTATACTCTGCATTATTTTATTATTTTTAAAAACCTACATACACCCAATGTTTAGTTAATTTGCAGCATCCGTGATCACGGACAGACAAGATGAGAAATTATATGATTTTATCAATTCAACAGATGTGAAAAATTGGTCTCTCAAAACAATTTACTCAGGGAACAGCTAGAGGAATCTCATCAACTCAATGAGGCTCTCACTAACGATCTTCAGAAACTGACCAATGATTGGGAAGCACTCCGGGATGAAATGGCTATTAAGGAAGATGAGTGGAAGGATGAAGAACAAGTATGTATAAGACATATGATTATGATTTGGTAAAACTGTTATTGATAGCATAGATTTTTAAGTAAATTTCATATAAAAAAATGTCTATATAAGCTGAATTCAAAGTTGAAATCTCTAGAATATAATTTCTATCTACATACTGTTTTAAAGTACAGATTCGGAACCTGTTTATTTCATTTGTTTTGTTACATTTTGGATTTGATTTTTAAATGAAGTAAATACTTATCAATGTCCATTTTAGTGTTACAAATTTAATTAGAATACTATGAATTTTAACAAGATATAATCTGTTTCATATGGGTGATTTACTATTCTTCATAATATGTGAAATAATTTTCCAGGCGTTCAATGATTATTACTCAAGTGAGCACAGTCGCCTTCTCAATCTATGGCGTGAAGTGGTGTCTGTAAAACGTTTCTTCTCGGAGACTCAAAGCAACACTGAACGAGAACTCTTCAAAGTTAAGAGTGACATAGACACGGCTGCCAGAGACCTTGTCGGCACCTTGAGTGGTTTTGCTATCACCGCTTATGCTCAAGGAGCTAAGGTTGGAATTTTTTGATCAATATGTGTGTATATATTTGTTGGTTACTGAAAGATGGTGAAGGAAAACATAGTGAGGAAACCCGGACTTATATTTTCACAATTATAAGTTTGAAATCACCAACCTGTCTTGAGCAAGCGTGGTGATTAATGCTCAAACTTTCTCCATGTGAGAAAGAGGCCTTTGCTCAGCAGTGGGCTCTGATAGGCTCATGACAAATATTTGGTGGTACATTTAACTTTTGTGTAATGAATTTCACATTCCAAAATTTTTTCATTTGTCAAAGTCCCTTGTCAAATATATTGTGTGATTATTCAACAGCTGGAGCCCCTTCAGACCCAGCTGCCACAGCAAGCTTCACCTTCACCGTTGGAGAGTCTCCGTGTAGAGCTACACACCACAGCCTCACAGAGAGATGCGGCTCAGTCAGAGCTGAGAGAGAGAGATGCTCGGATACAGAGACTGTTGGAGGATCTGCAGGCTTTGGTAAGGAATTGTTTGATTTTTATTATAATTAGAATATAATAGGAAGAGTTTTATAGATGTAAGTCACTGTTTCAAGCAAAAACTATTCTTTATTGTGATATGAATAACTGTATATATACATAACATCTAAGACTATCGCGATCATTCATTTAAATGAAACTAATAGTTTTCGGTTTTATTTTCGTATTTTATTATGTTTCGGTTACTTTACAACAAACCGTGATTAAGAAGACAAGACTTATTATATACTTATTTATATACTGCTCATGACTTGTCTTATCAAATGTAGTATATTAATTTTTATAAATTAACATATAATAAAGGTTTTCTATGATGTTTATTATTACCTGTAGGAGGATCGTTGTGAGTCTCTCTCCAATGCTGATGAAGAGGTCCGTGTACTGCGAGCCGCCCTCGAGGACGTGGCCCGGGCTCTCATACAGGACTCGGACGAAAGAGGCGGAGTCGCTGAACATCATCGGTATATTAGAATTATTACTTCCTTTATATTATTAAAATAAATAAAATTACTACTATGTAACCTGACTCTCTTCTTACATCATTAGCCATCTGCAAGTCTGTAAGAGTATAAGTTGAATCGCTTCAAATATTATTTATAATTTTAAGTTGGAGAAAAATAGTAAAAATATTATATTTAAATATATAAGTAATGTATTTACATAAAATGTTTTAGTTGATATTACAAAAAAACAATACAATTTTATTTATATGTATAGGTAAGTACGTGGTAAATATATTAGGTCCCTACCTGGTAAAGACACTACAATTTTATTCAAAAGGCGACCCTAGAGCCATCTATGAACATATAAGTCTAATCATATAAAAAGTTCTTGGGATGAATTTAAATTATCTAGTTGCTCGTATACTTTCAGTTGCTTTATATTACTAGATTGTTGATACAATATTTTTCAAGTTTAGCTTCGAATCTTGTGTTTGTTTGTCATTATAATTTGAACTTTAAATCTATAGTCTTAAGAACTATTCCTATATCTGGTATCATGTCCCGCAGCCCCCGATCCCCCGGCCGAGCCCCCGGATGTAGCACGTTGTTCGCTGAGAGCGCCGTCAGCGCCTTGCACGCCGCCCTCAACAAGTACCAAATACAGATACATGACTTACAGGTATATACGCATGTAATATACAGGGTGACTGGTGAATTACTATCGATATTTGAGGACGTGATATTTGACGATCATATATGACAAAATAAAAATTAATATAACATAAATATTAATAAACTTCTAAGTAAAGTTAACCAAAAGTTATGTAATTAATTACGCATCGTGTGCACACCCTACAGATTAGGTATACACACACACACACACACGCGTCGGCGGCGTGGTGTTGTATCAGCACGCCGCCGCACGCGTCCACACTTGGAACACTTGGAACGTGTCCACACTTTATTTATTTATACGGAAATTTGGTCAAAAAATAAGTACCTATTTTTTATACATAATTCGAATGAGAATCATGTACCGAGTATTCTCCTTAAATATTGATAGTAATTCACCAGTCACCCTGTATAATAATCTATTACTTTAGTGTAAACATTAAATTTTACAGTTACATATAATTATTCTTAATAGACATATCAATGTCTATTAAGAATAATTCAGGTAAATGTATGAGTTTATTATAATTTTGGGATGACAATAATCTTTATTTATACTGATGTATGAGCTATGTCATTGAAAAGTTTCTTCAAAACCTATTCAGTTTTTGCATCTAAAGATAACAAATATATACATACAACTCCCTATAATAGTCTGTTTATAATTTTAGAAGGTATTTCACATAAGCAAACATCTTATAAAACTTATTCCAGGACATTTTTTATGTTATACAAATATGTACTAAACAAAACCTTCTGTTAAGTTAAAAAAGCATAAGTATAAAGATGTTCTACCATAGCATAACTTACCTTAGTATGTATTAATATAATAACTGATAACAAAGGTTCGTCTCCAAAACACTCGCGAGCAACTGTCGACGTGTCGGAAGAGCTGCGACGTTGTGGACACAAACAACGCGACCTTGGAGAAAAAAGTGCGAGACTTACAAGGTATTCTATTGAAAAACCTATTAGGATTTATTAAAACTCGTGTGAAGTTTTTTAAACTTTTATTTTACCTTATAAAGAAACCACAGATAAAAACAAAATACATTATGTTGACACAAATATTCTCATAGATGGCACTTATATATTTTTATTTATATTCTATTACACTTAACCAGACCAACATACATATTGGACATATAAACTTTATATTTCAGTTTTTGCTGCATTCAAAAATGGTTAAGCTATTAATTTATACATTTATTTTATTTATCTTGAATAGACATCATTTGTCCATAATGTAATCTGTGGCAGCAGTGAAATATTAGCCAAAATAGAAGGTGTATTTCGAAAGAATTATTATATGAATTTATTATTTACTAATAGATAAGAATTGTTCTATTACCATGATACGTTATTACGTAAAGCCAGTAAAGATATTTCTTTACTGGCTCCATAACAGCACTCAATCAATATGTGTTTGAATGCATAGTTAAACGAACGAATGAATGAAATGAATGAATTTATTTCCAGAGAAATTGGACCAATCCAATACAGATTTGAACCAGCTAGTCCAAGAGAAGGAGTCCATGTTAAAGACCATCGAGGGTCTGAGAACTGATAAGAATAATCTGGAAAGGAATCGCCTTGAAATTAATGCTATGGTATGGGTTTGACTCACTAGAACAACTAGGAAACTAACCACTTTTTGTTTCATATAAGATAGAATGTATTGCCTTGTTTGTATGGCTTTACTTTAAAAATGATGCCATTTTCATTTATTTTTTTATTTTAATTTATTTATATAGTATTAATAAAGTTACCTTTATATTTATAGCTTTACTTTAACTGTGTAATCCTGTATTGGTCTTAGGATTGTCTAATTATATTTTATTATGTCATTATTATAAGCAATGTTAGATTACCGAAAACAATAATTAAATATATATGTATGTTTTTTCAAAGGTCGAGACACTGACATCTGATTACGAGAAACTCCAGAAGATGAACACTCGCTTGGAAAAGAATATAGAAGTACTGTTAAATGAAAAGAGAAATCTGACTTGTGAAGTGGACCGGTTACATAGAGAGGGAACCAACAGGGAGGCTGTGTTACGGTATCATACATTTGAAATTTATATACGTATTCATGATATATAAGATTTTCGCGTGTATTCATTTAAATAAAACTAATATTTTCATATGTACTACGCGTTTTTTATTATTTTAATTATATACTCCAAACGTTTTGGTTATTTTCAGCAACTGTTTATCTAGCCCAATAAGACACGTATTAAACACTTTTTATATCATTAAATCTAGAAGCTTATATATATTGGTAAAGCAAATTAACTAGCCGGCTAAACTAAGTTTAGTATAATATAGCCAAGTCACATATTTTTACATATATATAAGACTTTTATTGATACCAAATTCTATATAATGCAGTGCTGAAGAAGAACGCTCGGGTCGGCTCAGATCCGAGCTTGTGTCTGTTCGTGAGGACCTGCACAGGGAGGCGCTGGCGAGGGAACTGCTGGAACAACAGAAGATAGAGGGGGACGGACTGCTGCAACAGCTGGAGAAACATAGGAGTTAGTATTATATATGACTACCTGCGCCCCGCGGTGTTACCCGCGGATTTTAGGGATGTAAAGTAGCCTATGTATTATTCCTGGACGTCAGCTTCGTGTATACAAAATTTTATCAAAATCGGTTCAGCCGTTTGAGCGTGAAGAAGGAACAAACATACATATACTCACATACTGTCGCAATAATAATATTGGTAGGATAAGACCTGGGAGAGTGATATTGATACACCTGGGTGATGGTTAGACCTGTAAATAATTGAAGGTATACCCGGTTTATATAGTAATTTAATATATGTGTTTAATATTTAGTTTTATTAAATTTAAATAAGGATTTTTTACCTTAAATAAAGCTAATATTTTTGAAGTCATAAAAACTTTGTATATCAAACTTAGTGATGAATTATTTAATAAATAGGCTTATTTCGTTTAAAGTCTACTCAAACTAGATTTTTTTGCCAATGAAAATTAATACCAATTTTTATATCCATAAACTTAGTACCTTAAAATAGTAGGGATGTTTTATGAGTGTATTTTCATTTTCATTTTTAATTTTTGTTAGATAAAACTTGAAATAATAATTTTAATATTTTATATTTAATTATTAAACAAATTTAGGTTATGTATAAAACAGTATGTACATAGTTTTGATAATTTATTATTTAAGTTCAATATACATAGTAATAAAGAATATTAGTATTAACCTAACCTGATTATATAGTATATTAAAATCAAAAATACTTAAAATTCAGATTCAAATTATAAAATCCTATCTCATCTCATCTCAGGTGAGCTTGAGATAGAATTGGAGCGAACTCTGTTAGAGCGGAGCGATCTCCAGGACCTTACGGAGAAGTTACAGACTATTGTGAGAAGCTTGGAAGATGATAAGAAGAAACTTCTAGAAGATCTCAAACAGGTACAACTGGCTCTGGAATAGATTTACTAACACTTAGAATAGACACTATTTTATTTATACCATAATGAGATCTAAGATTTTTGCGAGTCTTATTCATTTAAATGAAATTAAGATTTTATTTTTTATTATAAACTACATACTCAAGACATTTCGGCTACTTTACAGCAACTGTTATCACGGACAGACGAGATGTGAATATACCCCAATATAATAATTATGTGTCCTATGAGTTTTAATTCATATTTTAATTAGTAGACTTATTGTTAATATATATTTTTTAACACTTTAAATATGTTTTTAAGTGATACTAATTATAAATATTTCAATTCCTAAATTATCTGGTTCATTTATGTTTAAATATCATCATTCATTATTCTAGATGGAGGAAGACAAGTCATCTCTTCTAAATCAATCTTCAGAACAACAGAGTGACATGAACTCTTTGCGCAAGGAGTTGCTGGCGGCTGAACAGAATAGGATGGAGTTGGAGTCTGATAAAGCGAGCCTACAGGAGAAGATGAAGTTCTTGGAGGGAGAAAGAGAAAAAGTGGAGATAGAACTGAGACAGGTGATGAGGTGAGGGTTCATGTTATGTTATGTAACATATCATATAACTAATTGACAATTGAAGGTAGTTTTTTTGGTTGTATTTGTTTTATGTGTTGTAGACAATATGATTTAGACCAATTTATATCCGAGTAGTTGTAATTTATCTATCATCAAGATTGTGGTATTTAATTTGACTTATTAGCTTCCATTCCATTGTTATATTTAATACTATAATATATATAAGTATTGAAGTAATTTATATGTATATATTGCCGCAGAGAACGCGGGGAACTAAGCTCTCAGCTGACGAGTATGTCTCGTAAGAAGGAGTCTCTCAATGAGGAGATGATGAGACTACAACAACGACTGGAACAGGCGGGAGAGACTATCGGCAGACTGAACAGGAGCTTGGACGACAGAGTCAAGAACGGGGAGGAGAAACAGGTGAGGGAGAGAGACAGAGAGAGAGAGAGATAGAGATAGATAGTCTTATCATTCTTATTGTTGAATGACTTCTATTCAAATGTGAGAAATGATTCTTGTATCTCTAAATAGAAGCTTGATTCGATATTCTTTGTTTCAATTTAAGCGTTTACGATTATATAAATATATCTCTGGTGATTACATTTAGCTAATTTTTATCATTATTTTGTAAATATTTAAAATCAGATTAAGTCTACAGACTTTTGTGTGACGATTCATAACAAAATTTACTAGATAATGCCCAGAAGCTAATTATAAATCGTACTTTGCCTAAGTGATGTAAGTAGAACTGTTGCCTTGAATAAATATACCCTTTCATTAATCTCAACTTAATGCAATATACAAACATATATCTATCTCGCTCCCGCAGATATTAATCGACAGTCTAGACAAGGATAGACAGCACCTGCAGGAGCAGTTGGCCGGAGCTCGCTCGGAGAAGGACGCTTTGGAAGCAGCGCTGTTTGAAGCAAGCACGGCGTTAGAAGACGCTGACACAAGGAGAGAAGCACTTAGCGCTGCTATGAATGAACAGGCGCTTTTAGTCGAGAACTATAAAGGTATATATGTTATATGGACTATGGACTGATGTTATATGCTGGTTTCATTTATTAAGCATGAGAATGAGTTTAATGCGTATCTTGCTCCGAAATTCAAGTGGTTATAGCATTTTCAATGTATATGAAATATTTGTGACCGGAGATGTTACTTAAAGATTGGTAGAGAGTGAAGGAAATTAAATATTTCTCGTGGAAAAGACAAAACTCCAAATAAAAAAAAAATAGGTTAAATGAACCGGCTATTTAAAAGTTTGAAAAGTCTCACGAAAACGCTTTCAGCAATACTTAGTTTTAAAGTCTCAATGACTCATGTTTTTTTATATTAGGGATTCGATTAAATTAAAAAATGTATTCATATGACTAACTTTATTAGATTTCAAAATAAACATTTTAATTTTACTTTTTTAAGCAAAGATCAAACTTCCAATTTATACCTCATAATCCATATTACTCCAGGTCAAATAGCCCGTCTGTCTAAAGACCTGGAAAATAGTGAGAAGAAGCTTCGAGAAACACGAAACAGTATGACGCAGTCTTCAGGGAAGAAAGAGGCGGAGTATCAAACGGTTATAGCCAACCTCAACAAGACTACCACAGAGAATATCACTAAACTGAAAGAGGAAAAGGTAGCTCATTATATCCCTACTAATATTATAAATGCAAAAGTAACTCTGTCTGTCTGTTACCCTTTCACGCCTAAACCACTGAACTGATTTTAATGAAATTTGGTACAGAGATAGAGTCGACCTTGAGAAAGAACATAGGATAGTTTTTATCCCATTTTATCTTGGAAACGCGATATAACCGAACTCGACGTGGGTGAAATTGCGGGCGGAAAGCTAGTTATTAAATATATTTGTTCAAAAATAAATTTATTTTACATTTAAATTAACTGTTATTATGAACATATTTTCTGAACATCCAAAACAAGTTTTATATGAGAAATATTGAAATGGAATTAAAACAAAAAAAATATTTCAGTCATAATAAAGTTATGGATTTAGTCAATACAACTTCCATTAAGTATATCTATTAGTAACATAACTTGTAAGAGCGAATTTTATTAAAAAGTATGTTGTCTTTTACGACATGACTCAGTTATAGTTTTAACCTTTTTTTTTAGAATTGTGTTTTCTTTAATTAAAATTCAAAAATATTTTTTGACAATGCTTCCATAGCTTTCAGTACAATTGTGCTCGAGTCCATTGTTAGTGTAATGAAATATTTATTTCAATTACGATCAAAAGATGGCGCTGTTTCTAAACTATTTTATGATTTACTAAAATATAACTAGATGTCGCTGTATCGTGAATCCCGGTTTCCTGGAACACGCTAGTGAGATTTTTCTCCGTCGAATGACTACCCCTCGTAGACTCATATTATTCATACTTACCTGGCGTAGGGGATACCGTGATCATGAAGGCGGTTCCCCCGGAGCGAGGCCCCTCCATTGCACTGCGGCGGGGTTGACCTCTGCGATTATCCCTAATGCGGATAACTCGGACGCGTAATTTTTGGTAGTGGGGACTGCGTACGCGCCGTCCCCTTCATAATTTATCAAAATATGACTTTCTTGAAAATTACGCGCTGAAGCCGCCATTCTGTTAAATATTAATAATGTGTAGAATCAATCCTCTTCACAAAATTTCATGTGGTGCGAAAAGTTTCGAGCTATCTTGTTCATGTTATATACCCCTCATATTAGACCTAGAAAGAAGCTGAAAAATACATAAGTCATACAAGGCATTTTGTGAAAAGTCATCTTTGTTATATAAAATACATAAATGCTTATGTATTGTAATAGAGAATCGCAGTATGTAAAATCAAAATTGTACATAATAAAATCTGAGGAATACATACAGGGACGTGATATGATTTTAATGCACATTATATGTATTTGTGTAGAATGTTTCTTGCTAAGCTAGATAAAATTACATCATTACTTGGTTGTACAAATGTTGTTGGATATTTATTTGGGTCTTTTTGGATTTACCTCTAAAAGTTTTCAAGATCTGGAGAACTAGTAAATAATTCTCCAAGAATATAAATAAACTACTTAACTTCATGGGATAATTGTTCAAAAGATGTGATAACATTGATTTTTTGTTATATATTAATGTTACGTAAATGATTTACTAATTGAGTTTTGTTCAAAACATTAATTGTTAATGATAAAGAGGAAAAATTATCTCAATATTAAAATTTTGCTAGATAATGGTCACTATATAATTAAAGATTCTTAGCTCCTAATGTCGGGTTTTCGTGGAGTCGCGATGTTATTTTATAAAACAATTCTTTTGTCTAAAATTAATTTAAATCAACGAGTATAAATTATGCCAGTAGTAGAAAAAGGTAATTTTAGAAAAAGAATTACAGAAAAATAAACCTATTAAGTATGAAGATGACGTCTTATAAATTATAATATTTATCTAGTAAGAGCTTAAAAATTCAATCTCAAGTTCAATAAAGCCAACACGGTTGCTATTATTTAAACATTTGTTTTTTATTTACAGGAACAACTTCGTCAATCATTGGAGCAAAAACTCAGTCAGACCATAGCGGCTTTGACGAGCGAGAAAGAAGCATTTGAGGCCAGTGCAAGGGAAAGAGAGAAGAAACTGCTCTTAGCCAGGGACCAACTGATACTGCAACATGATGAAGCCATGCTGAGAGCAGAGAATGACAAACAACAGGCTCTACTGATGGGTACGAAAATGTATTAGATCATTCACATAATATAACTAAAAACAAATTTGGTTAGATAGGGAGAGGATCTTGGACGGTGGAGGTGAGCGTTTAACGCGCGTTAGATAGGGGTTCCTTAAACCTACACCTGGGTCGTAAGTCCCAGGCACTGTTGAAGCTCCTCTTCCTGTAACTTTGGACCTGTACGGTGAATTCATTGAATGCTAAGAAGTTTCGTCTCTCTACAAATACTTTATTGCAAATTTCTTAATATTTTCATCAATTTTCCAGCTCACCAGGAACACCAGGCGTTGATCGAACGTCTGGAAGAAGCGAAGCGAATTCTGTCATGCGAACAGAACAAATTAGAGCGGGCCAAGAGAGACGCTCAGGCGAGGTTCGAACACGACAGGAACCACATCAACCAACTGAAAGATGACCTGTCAGCCTTGAAGACTAGGCTGGAGGACGCTAAGTAAGTAGAGAAAATGAGGACTATCATATACAATAATGAAATAATGAAAGGAAGTTATGGATTAAACTATTGTAAAACAAATGTGGATTTAAGTTTCTTTGGCTATGTGAGAGCTTTTTTTATCAGTGGTAGCTTCTAATTTTGGACCAATTTTTGCTTTTTTTTGGGTACGATCGTCTCTCATAAAGACCTATCAAAGAAAAAACTTTGCAATGAAATTACATATGACTATTGCACACAATCCAAAAATAAAATTTTACAACAATATAAGACATCATCGGTTTCTTCCATTCTATAGTAATTAATTTTCGTTGTTCATGTTTTACAAAATCCATCCAGAGCCGCAGCGGAAGACGAATGTGTCCGTTACGAGAACAGAATTAAAGAGATTCATCTGGAGAAAGAAGGAGTTAACAGGGAACTACAGGAGACTAAGGCGGCGCTCGCTCTGGCCGAGGATAAGTATGACGGAGCGTACGGACAACTACAGGACACGTTGAGGAAGTTGAAGGACTGTGAGTAAGACAGTAACAGTAAAACAGTAACATAGTAACAGTAACACAGTAACAGTAGTGGAAAAGAGATTAAGGCTTGGCCAGAAAATTGTTTGTCTTGGATTATAACATTTTTGGCTATGAAGTTGTGTGTGATTATACGTGAGATCAGTCAACAATATCCATAGTTTTTAGAAGCATATTGTTAATTGTTTTTATTGTCCATTATATTTTTATTATCTACATATAAACTTCTAGTATAGAATAGAGCTAGAGCTTACAGTAGAGTATCTAGAGTTTACAGTATTCTAGAGTTTACAGTATTTAGAATCTTTTTGGTTTAATCAAAAGGATGCCTTCAATTACAGTGGAAAATGAATCAGAGTGCCTTCGTAAGGATCTGACAGACGTGCGTCGTCAACTGAGTCAATGCAGCGCTGAGAGGGACAAGTACAACAGCGCGTGTAGAGAACTGAGAGATCACGTGAAGAGATCTGAACATGAGAGGAGGGAGACTGCGAGGACCAGGGACGAGGCTTACCAGAGGATCACTAGTAATAACACTTAGATATACATAAGATTTTTTATTTTATGGTTTTACTGCGCCCCGCGGTGTTACCCGCGGATTTCCGAGATTTCCGGGATGTAAAGTAGCCTATGTGTTATTCCTGGACGTCAGCTTCCTGTATACAAAACTTTATTAAAATCGGTTTAGCCCTTTGAGCGTGAAGAAGTAACAAACATACACACACACACTCACAAACTTTCGCAGTTATAATATTAGTAGGATGGTCTATAATTATAGATATAATACAATATGGCTGGCTTCAAAATCGAATATTGTTGTAATCATATTATTTAAGGATTTTAACGGTAATTTCCCTCAAGGATCTTGGAATTCATGAGCTTAAATATGTTCTTTCTGTAGATCAAACCGCTTAGACGCTTACGGTTATTGTTTTATTCAACAAATTATACATATGTTACATTAATAACAGATTAATAACAAATTCCCATTATTTTTAATCCATACACCACAAACTATAAAATTATACTTTGCCTTTGCCCATATATGGTCATAATTTGAATACGTCAAATTAATGATAAATCCATTATCATTACAGGTTTGGAAGAAAACCGTACAACCTTAGAACTGGAACTATCTCGTGTTCAGACGATGTTGAAGGAGTGTGAGAGTGGTGGAGAACAGAGTGTGAGGGCGCTGAAGGCGGCGGAGACACAGCTGAAGAGGGAGAGGGCCGCCTTGGAACAAGCGCAACATGACATAAAGGAACTACAGTCAAGGTGATTAAGATGATATTGGAACCCTTTTAGAGTACAAGTGGGAGATCCTAGGTGTAGCATCCCTGGTCCTACATGTAAGTATAACTAATCACTGGCTCACTACTACCCCGCCTAGAGCGCAGGTGCACGCAACCGTTCCACTCCGCGCTAGTCATTAGACTGCCGAGCGCATGCCACCTCCTCCAGTGGGGTACGTGAGACAGTGTATTATATCTATTTTATAGATACATACACTACACTAGGGAAAGTAATTTAGTACCTGCATCATTTTGGTTTTTGGTGTATGAAAAGTATACAGGGGTGGAGATGGCGGGGGAAAATTTTCGGAACTTTGGAACAAGTAGTTCGTTTTAAGAACTTGAATTAGTTATGAGTATAAATAAAAGTGATTTCTTTCTGTGCTATGGATATAACTGGATTTTATCGCATCAATTGATTGCAATCTACATTTACTTCACACAAAACATAATATTTGGCTAACAATTCTATTAATTCCTCATACATTTAAATAAATTATGCCATCTAATGTTATATATTCCAACTAATCCATCGTTCTTTATATGTTAGACTTCAGAATAGCAACGAGGATCGTGAGCGTACTTCGTGTGAGCTGGGCGCGGCTCGGCGTCACGCGGCCGAGTTAGAGGCGGCCCTACAGGCTGTGCGAGGTGACCTGGCACACTCACGGACACGAGCTGCCGGGCTGGAGGACGCGCTCCGGGACAGGGAACAGGTGATAGGTTATATTATGGAAGATATTATGATAAAGGGATATTTGGTTATGAAAGATTTATTGGAAGGGATGGCAAGAATTATATATCGTGTTTAGTAATACACCTGGGGTACTATTTATAAGTTTGTGGAACGTTTAGCGGTTGGGACATCCTTGTTGCAAATTGACATTTGATAGAATATAATCGATAATTAGCTCCCCAAAGAATTTATAGTATGTTGAGGTTTGTGAAGCGGTTATACGATATAACTTGTAGCTAATTGACAACATGAACTGTTGCCAACAACTTTAGATATAAATTGATTAAAAGAAATATAAGGAAAGGTGGACTTAGTTAAAGATTTTTGGTACATTGAAAAAAATACTTATTATATTATATAATATATAATAACTTTTTTAAAGAATTGATTTAATATCTAAGATTTTCGCGAGTATTCATTTAAATAAAACTAATATTTTCAGATGTACTACATACGCAATTTTATTATTTAAACTACATCCTTTTGACATTTCGGATATATTGCAGCAACGGTCAACACGGGCAGACGAAATAAAAAATTTCATAATAAACTTTGTGTGTATGTAGCTTTAAAATCATCAAAAATATGCGTAGTATATCCAAAAATCTTGGTTTTATTTAAAGGATCAGCATGCCAAATCTGTTAAAGTAGTTAAATTTAAATCATGCTATGAAGTAAAGATCATTGTACATGTATTCGTTGTTTGCTAGGAGCTCGTGCTGCGTCTCGAAGATTGTAGATCCAAGGAACGTAGATTGGAGGAACTCAAACACAACCTGGAAGTCTGTCTAGCGGACGCGACGCAACAGATACAAGAGTTAAAGGTGAGGAGTAGCGATATATGAACTGATAATATTATTTAATATTTGAATAGGAAGACGAAGAAAGATTTTGTTCCTAGCTCCTATTGGTTATTTTTTTACAATGTATTCTAAAATATATGTAGGCCTAATTTTAATTAATTTATATTGTTTTCTACGCTTTTTTTCTGTATTTTTTATCAGAAACAGTTTAATGATTATATCCTATATACAGGGTGACTGGTGAATTACTATCGATATTTGAGGACGTGATATTTGACGATCATATATGACAAAATAAACATTAATATAACATAAATATTAATAAACTTCTAAGTAAAGTTAACCAAAAGTTATGTAATTAATTACGCATCGTGTGAACACCCTACAGATTAGGTATACACTCACACTCACACATACGCGAGCGGGGCGTGGTGTTGTATCAGCACGCCGCCGCACGCGTCCACACTTAGAACACTTGGAACGTGTACACACTTTATTTATTTATACGGAAATTTGGTCAAAAACTAAGTACCTATTTTTTTTACATAATTCGAATGAGAATCATGTACTGAGTATCAGTGGCGGCTGGTGGGTTATCGAACTGGTGGTTCACTTTACTAAAATATTGACAAAAACAACAATTGACATAAAATATGTTTATTTTTTGTACATTAAATCAATGCGACGACATTTTTCTGTAGCGAAATGTTCTATCACCTTTTTATTAAAATCTGGTATTTTTTCTATAAATTTCTTTTCAATACTAAGCACAGAAAGTGCATGTAGCCGATCCTGAGACATGGTATTTCTGAGAAAAGTTTTGATTCTTTTCAGTGTCGAAAAACATCGCTCGCTCTCTACTGAAGTCATTGGTATAGTATAGATGCTCCTTCATAACTATATCCAACTCTGATACAAAGTCTATTAATCCACGAAACACTCCAGCATTACTGGACTCAATAGTTTCATCGTGACCTCGCAAAGCTAACTCAAATGCACCACAAAACTTGACACAATCGATAAGACGTGATAAAATGTATCTGTTTTTATCAACTTGTTTATTATACTTTTGGATATTACTTCTATACACAAAATCTAGCTGATTACGAATATCGACTGTGCCTAACACAGACAAACTCATTACATTTTGTAGGTGTACTTGTGAAGAATCATGTTTTTTTAATTTTTCACTTAAATGCGTCAAATCCTTGATTCCATTTTCTGTCCAAATCGATTCTCCGCCAAAAATAATGCAAGGAAAACAAAAGAATGCATTAAGACGCTCACATCCACACAACCATTTCTTTCTATTATACATTTCACTTTTAAAACTTCGTATAAATGCTTTATTTTTCGATTTACACTCTTGTTTTAAATTTAAAAAGGGCCGTGGCGGCCCGGCCAATTTTATGTTCACTTTACTTTGAAAAATTTTGTTATTTTCTTTAATATAATCAATATTTATACTCATTTTCAACTAATAAAAAACACAGTACAGAATAAAAGTTCCATTATAGAAACGAAATAAAAACTAAAACGAATTACGGAAATAATTATAAACAATAACCAATTAACGCGTCACGCATACCGTGAAAGTTGAAACAATACCAATAACGATTAACGAAATGTCAATCATAGCACCCATCCTTTCGGCCGGCCCCTTGCCGGCCGGCTCAATACGTCATACATCGGGTGCTCTCGGTAACCTTCGGCCGCTTCGTGCGGCGCTCGAGAACCGACTCATTACTCGGTACATTTCTAAGAACTATCTTTTGTCTCACGCGCCAGGCGTATTGATGCGTGTCTCATACAAGATGTATTAGCAGTCCTCGTGCACTCGCCGAAGCGCACGATATGAGTTTAGTAAAGCGCTCAAACTTTTTGACCATAATTGGAAATTAAATTTTTTATACCTTTTTGTATGTTTAAAAAATAAATATTAAAATGGTAATTTAAAAATTAAGATGACATAATATTTTGTAATTTTTAAATATTTTCAAATTGGTGGTTCAGCGCACGGGCGCACTTAAGGTACAGCCGCCACTGCTGAGTATGCTCCTTAAATATTGATAGTAATTCACCAGTCACCCTGTATAATTAATTGTTTGAGCAAAACAAATTGAAATCTTTGTTATTTAATAAATATATTATTTTATAAATAAAACCCTTGTCAAGAAACCTAAATTTCTTAATAGGTCAAGGTACAGAATAAAAAACACCAAAAAATAAAATCGTGCCAAAGGTGGCGATGCGAAACTAATTACATAGGTTCAGTTTTTTTATCATTAATACACCTATACAATCAAGTGCTGAGATTTATGAGCAATAGTCTAAAAACTATCCATATTTAGTGTAAGAAATACATATAATAAGAGAATTATCATAACAGACCCGTGTGGGCGCCAGTGAGGGTCGTTGTCGCGCGTTAGAGGCGTCTCTCTCTCAGAGTGAGTCGTGTCGGCGCGAGGTGGAGGCCAAGTTATCAACGGTCGCTCACTGCTTGAAGAGAGTCTGCGGGCTGCAGGCGGACGGAAGTCTTCAAGCGAGGAGACGCCTCGCCAGCCCGTCCAGGAAGTACAGCCCGCATAGAGGTATAGTGAATGGACCTTAGGACCTGGACTTAGAGATCAAATTACAATGCTCGTTCAATGAAAAATTTATTTGCTTTCTTGGGCAGTCTTTGAATTTTTTTTCAATATCTTCCAAACAACTTATCTGTCAGCCGTGTAGTTAAAAGTAATAGAAAATCTTGACTCAATTTATTTCTAACTGTTCTGATATGATTCAATTAAATTTTAATACAATGTGTTGATTAAGTAACTATTATTATAATGAGCGAGTGAATTTTCATTATCTTTCTGTGTTCCGAAGGTCGCGATCATTCTGAAGACCGAAATGAAATCATAGACGTGGACCCGGAGATGATCAAGAAGGGAGTCAAGAATCTGATGCATGAAGTGTGTCAGATTGAACGGGAGAGGGTAAGTATATATAGAAATCAATTGTTTCTTTACATTTATGCGTTTGCAGTGAGCTCTGAAGCCTCTTGAAGGATCTAAATTATAGGTGGACTATCACGTCGAAAGGGCATAGCCGGATAAATATGGAAAAGAAAATATACTTTCCAGAGCAAATAAAAGTGTTCTACGTTTTATTTCAAGCAAAAAAATATATATAAAAGTGAATTAATTGACGAATTTAAAAAAAAAATATGAATTTTTAATTTTTTTGAAATTGTTCCACTTCAAAAAATCTGAAGAAAATCCTGAGTGTCAATGGGTGTAAAATACATGTTTTGGCAAATTTTGATAATTGACATATTTCAAAAACCCTAAAAGATAAACAAGATTTAAATTTTCTTTCCTTCGTTAAAAATCGACTTTTCGTTGAAAAACCATATTGATCATACGTTTTTTTATGTTTTAGATTCCTAAGAATAAGAAAAAAAAACACCATTGCTTAACTCCGAATTTTAGTATAAATAAAATTAATATAAAAAAACAGGTTTTTTTGATATCTCAAACGTCGTTCGAGTTAAACGGTTAAAAATTTGCGTGAATTATTTTTATTCGATGCCAAATCGATCCCTTAAGTATGGGTAAAAAAAGCCATGGGGGCAGATTTCCCATATTATTATCTTTTATGATATTTCCCATATGATTATCTGGCTATGCCATTTAATATGACTGCCAATAGAAATAAGTTTATTTTTATTTGTAGTCGAATTGCTAAATTCAACACATTAATCGCAATAAATGAATTCCTAGTCACTATTTAAATTTTTTTGCTTTCACTTGGAGTATACTGTTTTTATTTCTGTTTTTACTCAAATAATAAATATTGTCAATTTTTAATTTCCTATCTCTGTATTTTCAGGACGACTGTAAGGCTCAGCTGTCGGTTGTGAAGAAGCAACTGAAAGAAGCAACCGAACAGCAAGGGAAGGGCGAGGGTAAAGTACAAGCACTGAACAATAGTTTGAGAGGAATTCATGAGGAGAAAGCTAAATTACAAGCGACGCTGGGACAGAAAGATGTTCAGATAACGTCCTTGGTAAGATAATAAGAGATTGAGACGCTTCTTATAGGGAAATAGAGTTACTGTTGAATATGAAATTATCTTAAAATGATTTAGTATAAAGCCGATTGGATGAAATATATTTTGGTAGAACGTAGCTCATAAAAGCCATGTCGTTGATTGCTAACTTTCAATATTTTCTTTCGTTTCTGTCATTCAATATTTTCTAAGAAGAAAAACCTCAACCTAATATATTTATATTATCAACAATTATCGCAACATTTCTTTCATTCAGTAATAATTGCTATCTGCATGTTTCAGAACGAGATAGTACAGACGAAAACAGTAGAAGTCAGCAGTCTTCGTGATAAGATCACCAGCTTAGAAGCGACGCTTGCGACACTCACTGAGGAAAAACTACACACTGGGGTATGGAAACTTATACTGGGTGTTCTTTGGAGTGACTTTAAAGGTCCATCCTGTATATAAAAAAAAATATTTTCTAGTCCTAATATATTTGTTCGATACTATAGAATCATTCTACATCTTTTTTTTAAAGAGAAATTCTATACTTTATATATTTTTGCCAGTGAGATAGCATCATGTAATATTACTTACAGAACAAGTCTGAAAGCCTCCGAGCTCAACTCGCGGAGAGAGTGCAGGAGGTCGCTCAACTGAGAGAGGCTCTGACCGCCGCTGAAGGTATATACATATACATATATTCTTAGTACTTAGTTGAGTCAGTGGTGGCCCAAGGGTTAAAAGGCCCGCCTCTCATACATGAGGGCGCAGGTTCGATCCTGGCAAGTACCAATGTGATTTTTATGTACTTTCTAAGAGTATTTAGACATTACTGATTAATGCATTCCCAAAAAAGGTTGATGTCAGGCAAGCGGCCGGTCGTAAAAACAATTAGCCAAAACTATGCATAACATGTAAGGCAGACCCTGGCTAAAGCTGGGAATTTGCCAGGAAGAAGAAGATATATTCTTAGTATGTAATATGTATTATATAGTATATATACCAATTTGTGACTAGCTCGTGCCTCCCGACTGGACGTGCGTCGCGCTCAGCTCGAGGGAGACGTGCAGCGAGCTAGTGCTGCTGCTAGAGAGAGAGAGGCCGCACTCAAGGTCCATATGTTCATATATTAATATGAAATATTTCATTTCAGTACATTCAAATTTTTATCATCGGTGAAATTACCCTTTAAAATTACAAGATTTGTTTTATTACTGCCTATTATATTGTAAATAATCTTGTCCATTTGAGAAGAGGCCTTTGCTCAGCAATAGGCTCTGATAGTCTGAAGATAAAGATATTGTTAGTCTCTATTAAACTGTATGTCTCTATTAAACTGTATGTTTCGTTCAGAAGCTCCAAGAGCGTATAGATGGCTACACTCGTACTATAGCATCCTTAGAGGACCGATGTACGTCCTTGAAGGGTACAGTGGAGCAACTATCCACTGCGCTACAGAAAGCAGCCACGGCTGAGTCTGAGTTACGAACAGAACTGGCGCGAACACAGAGACTGTTGAACGAAACGAGGAACAATGAAAATAATGTGACGGACAAGATGAGACACATGCAGAAGAATATTGGTGAGATTAGTAGGAACTAACATATTTGGGGTTATAGCTTTGAGTACTGCTATTTGTGATCTTTATTGTAATGCAAGTGTTAGATTAAAGATCTGTTAGGCTTGACCAAAAATGTGGGACATTTTAGATGTTAATAACGATAGTTGCAGACGACAGGAAGAAGAAAAAAAATGTTCTGAATTAGTTTTATTGATGTACAACTAACTTGATGTAAGTTCGTATAGTATAGTTGTTGGTAAAATTATAATACTGAATTTATTGAATTAATTAATTATGGTTTACGTTTCTGTTAAATGTTTATTATTGTATCTTTTCATTGAAATCTATATCAGCTGATCTTCCGTGATACAAATGTGTATAACTTGCATTAAAATAAATATATTATCAATAAAAGCTATTGTCAAGTTCAACCCATTTTATGTGATCAGAAAAATCGATACAGCAGACATTAGTTGTCCAAAAACTTTACTATCACAAATGATATATAATCCGAGGACTTCATTGACGTAGAAATTAAATTTAATTCGTTTTAATTTCAACCAATCAGAAATAATATAAAATACGCGTTATTTGTTTCAGCCAATTGTGAGAACGAGCGTCGCGTCCTCGCTGAGAAGCTTGAGAGTGCGAAGGCGGCTCTCGCTGAGATGAAGAGAGTCAACTGTACGCTGGAAGATCAGGTCCACAGACTGACCAACCAACTTAGTAACGTGGAGGCGCAGAGGTGAGGCGATTAGAGAAGACTAAATAACATATTATATAGAGGAAGTTTGTTACTGTTCCTAACGAAAATTTATTAATCGATCTTAATAAAACCTTACCATAGTACCATGCGTGAAGATCAGAATAGAATATAGTCTATAATTTATTCTGGAGTTGATCGTTATAATAGTACTATTGTTTGAAATCGAGTGATATTGATGGCGCTGTCGTTTGGTTATCACTTTTTTGCAAATACTTACTGGTTTCTCTCATTTCAGTTAAAATATGTTAGATGATTTTTCATATCGACAATACCTCATCAGAAAGCGTATTATATCAAAAATTATTCTTAATATATTAATAAAAACATTATGACTAACACATATATTTCAAGCTCGCTAAATATCCATTACAGAGTCGATCTAGAATCTCAGTTGCGTATGGCAGCGTGGGACGGCAAGGAGAGTCACGACGGAGAGTTGGAGAGAGAGTTGCATCTACTACAGAGAGAGAGATCAGAGCTTAAAAGCAAGAACGACGCGCTACAGGACGCGGTCAGGAAACTAGAGGCCGAGAGAAGACGACCCGCGCTCAGGAGCAAGAGTCACGACAGGAACGATAAGAACTACTTCTCATCTGATATTGACTCTGGTAATTATAGAATTTTTACCTTAAAGTCGGGTATAAGGCTTTTAGACTTAATAAGCCTTTCTAGGTATAGGAATTTTATAGATGTAAAATATTTTAGATATATAATCCTTACGATTACAAAAATCAAGTAAGAAACAGAGACTTTTTTATAATATTTTCTAAGGACTTAGTTTTATTCCTTATTATTTAGTTTTGCATTAAATGAAACTCATTGTGAATGTTAACATTCTGATATCGTCTGCTTGTAATCACGGTTGCTGTTAAATAATCGAAACATCGGGATTATGTAGTTTTTAAACGTAATAAAATACGCGAAGTAATCCGAAATATTAGTTTTATTTTAATGAGTCTTAGATATCATTAGTTTGCATTAATTAATTTCGCTCATTAAAGGCGCAGACTCCACCAAAGACGTCCTTCTGTACAAAGAACTTCCTTGCAAGGACCGGTCTTATAGTGAGCTGAGTCTCCTTGAATTGGAGAACCGCGAGCTCAAGATGAAGATTAGGAGACTGGAAAAGGAACTCGCTGATAAGGTCAATGACACTTACTATATTTTAGGAATTTTAGACCGACATACTATTATCTACTTGAAGACATTTTTTTGGTCCCATGCTATTCTGATATTAGCTGTCGTGTTATTAATTTACAAGTTTCAATGTTTTTGCATGAAAGTATAATGCGGACACAAAAAGAATCGTCGAATATTTTTACATTTTTATATACATTTACTGTCTGTCATGAGAAATGTTTGACACGTAATTTTGGATATAAATAAAAAACTTTTAAAATAACACCCTCCCTTACACACCTATTTATCAGTGACATTGAATTATAAACCGTATCTATAGGAGTCAGAGTTGTCAATGGCTCGCAACAGATACTACTCGGATCTGTCTTCAAACAACGCTCAAGACGCGGACCAATACCGCCAAGCGGCCATACAAGCTGAGAGACTGTTAGAGGCGAGGGAGGCCAGCCACAGACAACAGATTATGAGACTTGAGAACCAGGTATTAGAGACTATTTTAGAATACAGGTTTTTCTTCTAGCATATGCCTTATAAATAAAGACTATGAGAATTATTGGTGGAATAAATTAAGTCTTGGTTCTGTTATATCCCGAAAACTCAAGGCATTTGTCAGTCTTGTATATATTAGTTTGATAAAAAAAATTATAATAATTTAAACTAAGCTCTTTTAAGCCCTTCGTGTACACACATATAACAACGGGCATTCTTTAAAAATTTCAAGATTTTATGATTTTTGATGTTATATCAAGAGAAATCATATTTTTTAAGACTTTAAGAGATACTTATTTGACTTTTAATGAAAGAATTCTTAATATATCATTTGTATTGTATATTGAATCAGAATAACTCTTTGAAATCCCTATGAACATTCACTGAATATTTGTCTCACTTGCACACACCTAACACCTTATATATCCATCTCTATCACTCCAGTTGTCCCAGCTCCGAGCCCAGCTATCAAGTGAGATCCGTCGTCGTCAGGCGTATGTAGCTCGCAGTGGCCGGGCAGCCAGAGATGTACAAAGACTCAGGAGTGCACTAGGAGACTCACTGAGAACCGTCTCACAGGTTTGTCAACCACACTCAAGACCCATTAGACTATAGTAATGTGTATAACTACATAGGTCTGTCATATATGGCTAGGGTGATTATTAATAATCACTAAAGAGCTCTTAGACTATATAATATCTGAGAAAAAATTATGTGTATCTAAGTATATTTCTTTGGAAATTCCTGAAAATGTTTTCAATCCCTACTAATATTATAAATACGAAAGTAACTCTTTCTGTCTGTTACGCTTTCACGCTTAAACCACTGAACTAATTTTAATGAAATTTGGTACCGATATAGAGTCGACCTTGAGAAAGAACATAGCATAGTTTTTATCCCAGACTTTTGAAAGGTTCTCTTGGAAACGCGATATAACCGAACTCCACGCTGGGGCTGAAAGCTAGTATAATTATATAATACAGTAGTAATGTTATGTTGTTATAATATAAGTTTTTCCTCAGGATCCGGCTCTGGACTCATACAAACTGGAACATGAAGCTCGTAAACTGGACAACACTCTAACACAGAGCTTGCCACCTCTCAACGATAGCTATGAATCCTCAAAATAAACCTTCACACATATACAACTAATATTTCAGACAATTTTCTACTTTATGTGTTTAACTTTTACAAATTCCATTCAATTTATCTAAAATATAGGTACAATAATGGATATCAATTATTATAATTTGAGGATTTCATGATTATTAATATATTCAGATAAGATTGTGTTTTAATTATTTACATCTTTCAAATATTACAAATGTAGTATATTATGGTCACTTTGTATAAGTAATTTCTATTTGTTATATGCAAGGTATATGCACATGTAGGTAAAATTTTTAATATATTAAAAATAATGTAAGTCTATCCAGCCCTGATTGTTCTACTTTTTGTAGAATGGCTCGAGAATGACACTTCAAACATGTAGGTCATGTTTACTTAAGAGTACTCTGAATGGTTTTTTATTTAAAAAAAAGGTTTTATATTAATAATTAAGTTATTATCTCATCGTTGAAGTATGTATCATATGATTTTTGTATCCAAAAAGTAAGAAATATGTTTTTACAGCTGTTTTTATATATTTACTACTTTTATATTGAGTATACACACACAAATACATGGATATATGTGTGTGTGTGTTTGTCTTACATTGTGTTCCATGAGAAATATTAATCGTGATACAATGATTCACAAGCCAATGCTAAGGTCAATTCGCGAGCCGGAAGTTCTGCGGAAGCGATATATTTTTTTTGGTGACTCAACTTGTCTAGTCAGTGAATGTATTTGAATATAATCCATTATACAAAAAATATTCTAATGAATTCGAGAAAGTATTATTAATAATATGTTATTTTTATCTCGATATCTACCAAAAAATGGTACGTTTTATCAGTATTATGAAGCATCCCACTTGATTCCACTCATGTAGGCGGCCTTCGATGACCCTACCGACACCCTCCAATAAAAACGAATAAGGCAAATTGGATGTGGGCTGAAGATTCGTTATAACATCGAAATTTAACCTCACGTTATACACACGCTTGTTATAATTAGAACTGGTTTAAATTTTCCTCGTTATAATCGAGAAGGATAAAACTATTAGTGGAATATTTCAATGACGCTTTAAATTACGTTTATTGGAATAATTTACGCTCGTATAATTATGATGCAATCGTTAGTCATTTAAAATATTATTCAAGTAATTTAATATATATCTTATATTATCACTGAATTGTAAAAGTGTTCGGATTGAGTCGAGACCCCAATATTTTCGACTGATAACAACTAACATCCAGTGCACTGATAATGTCTGTACCTACTGTCGTTCGTTCCGATGTTTTTTAGACAAACTTTTACTAAATAGATATATTAAACACGCTTTATATTAAACTTTATTTATATTAGTTTTCGGGTGATTCGTATCCCGCTGAACTAGATCTATGTACGAGACCTTGTTTCACACGAGGGATGGCGTCTAAAATATCAAATGTAACCCGACACTTGATTTGTAATATTATAATTAGAACGCTTGATTTATATGTAGTAGTTATAGAAGGCGTATTGTGTTCATTACCAATGGACTGTGTCAATTCTTATGTTACTAGAATGTCGACATACGCCCGCCACATCACTGCCATTATTTTTATCAATGTACAACTAGTCATGTATCATGTGTGTGACACGTTTTATGAATATTTTATACACCAGACGAATCAATAAAATAGTTGTAGAATAATTGCTTGTTTCATTTAATTAAATTTCATTAAAATACCGACCCAATTGTCTGAGGAGGGCTCCGGTGGGATGAGTCACCACGGACTCATTGTACTCGCCACGCAAAAGCAAAATAATTCAAAGAGTATTAAATTTAAAATTGGTTTTATTGATAAATTTGCGAAATTAAAATAAAAAAAAGGAAAAATTAATTGTACATATCGATTATTGATTGAAAATATAAAGAATATACATGTTATTAATTTGCACATTATATATATATATATATATACATAAAAAAATATAGTTCAACTCAGATCAAGTCTATACCAATATCCTTGTGCAGATTTAATCTTAAATAATAACAGAAATGACAATTCAAGGGAACATCTAAACCGTAACAATATATGAACACCTATTTAATAATTATTACTTTTAACAAAGTTTTCATAGCAACATATAGGATGGTAATTTACATTTAAATGAGCCAATAGTTGTAATACTTTATTTATTCAATTTACAATAACTTTAATATTCATCTAGACTTTAGTAAGGTATAGTATCCGATGAGTGCCGGTAAAGAATCTAAGGACATGGGCACTAGAGGCTTCACCAATACAGGGCTCGATTATATGAATGGCAAACCCGTAAAGGTGTGTTGTCATAACTTTTCATACATTTGTATTATATAACAAGACAATAATATATCTGAAAAAATTTAATGTATCCTTATATAATAAACATTTTACACTGGTTATGGCCCACTGGCACAAACTCCAGGTCTCCGAGGAGCCCGCCTTACTCACATACGGCTGTTCAGAAGTTTTTATATTTTATTAAATGCTATCATAATATACCGACTCAGCTCAGACATGGAATATGTTTTCATGAGAACGCTACATTCATATACAATTTATGATAAACAGTTGATGCATTCTTGGCAGATGTAAGCAAACAATGTACAAAAACAACCTGCATTCACACAACGGTTCAAGAATTAAGACAGTAACAAACTATATTTTAACTAAAGATTGTGCAAATCCTTTAAAGCTTCGAACCTTTGATGAGTTAGATGCTATAACTTCGGTTTGAATACATTTTTTAAATGTCTGAACCAAGCGGGGATTTTAACAATATCCTATAAGAAACTAGGTAGCCTTTGCAAGACTTGTTTAAGATAAAGATACCAATTATATATACTAATAGAGATTTAGGCAGTTAGAGTTTTATACTAATAGTTACAGCTCTATATGAATTGGAAATCACAAATTATTGGGAATTAAAGTGAAGTGAGAAATTACTTCTGAACATGGCATTCACACTAATCATTATGGAAATCGGAGGGTGAAACACATACAGGCTCTTTGAATGTATCTTTATGAACCACTAATATAAATACACAGTTGAGGAAGTAGTCAACTTAATACATTAAGGGGACAACGCCTATGACAGGATCTGTGATGCATTTCATCTCATCTTACAGCTCCGGACCACGAGAGCACAACAAATGCACATTTCCAAAATGCTAAGGGTATTCAATAACCAACCATGCTCACCCGACCTAATTAACTTTTGGAACTGTCAAGAGCCATATCTGGGTACGAGAAGTCTTTCAAATTATTAAATATTTAATACCTAGTTGCGTCGGAAGCGCCTTTATCTTTACAGCATGCGACATAATCTTGGTTTCTTCTTGTTTTTTTCCTCCTTGGGTGATTTTTTGTTAATCTGTCGCACTAGATCGTAGAACACTTCGTTCACACTGATTTTAGCCTTCGCGGAGGTCTCCATGAAGACGCAGTCGAAATGGTTTGCGAGGTTCGCGCCCTGTTGCTTGCCAACCACGCGCTCCGCCTCCAGGTCACACTTGTTGCCAACCAACACCATTGGTACATCCACCTTGTCCTTCACCCGCAGAATCTGTTCCCTCAAATCTTGTAAGTCGTTGAAAGTCGATTGGGCTGTTATAGAGTATACTAAGACAAACCCCTGTCCGTTTTTCATATATAAATCTCTCATAGCGGTAAACTGCTCCGTTCCGGCCGTGTCTAGAATTTCGAGCATGCATTGCTGTCCGTCAACTTCTACTTGTTTCCGATAGCTGTCTTCGATGGTGGGGTCGTATTTCTCCACAAAGATGCCTTGTACAAATTGTACTGTCAGGGCGGATTTTCCCACGCCCCCGCTACCCAGAACGACTATTTTGTATTCGCGCATTATTGACTGTTTTTATGAACTTGAATTAATCCACAGAAATTAAAAGATTACACAGCTAAAAAGCACATTAACTAGTAAGTTATTGCAAAAAAAACCTTCAACAAGTCAAACCGCCATGACACCGTTAACAGGGCGATGGCTCACTTCGTTGGTGTTGCCGCTACCATTTTAAATACTAGTGATGTAGGGTTGTTTGTTTTTTTTTGTTAATACTATATCTACAATGTCAATGTATTGTTATATTTTATATAAATTCGTGGTGTATATAAATAATATTATAATGAAAACTTTTAATAAAGAAGTTCCTCAGATTACAAAATGGTTTTGATGTGAATGTTTTGCATGTAATGGTTTTTGGTGTTGTGTTTTAAATCATTTATATTTTTGGAATGGAGAGTTTTGAAGTTCTTTTTGAATTAATTTTATGTTTGAATGAAGAAAAGTCATAATAAATATTATGTATATACAATTAGGAAATTGCTTTATTATCATGTTTTTATTTTTTCATATTGTGACACGATGATATGAACCCTTATTATTCTTGCAACATTTGAAAATATTGCTAATTCTAAATATGAGAACTAGATGGCGCGCTTAATGATGGCTATGTGAACCTTATTAAATGTTGTTTTAATTGATTATATTTTTTCAAGTTTCTTGCTGGATAATAAATGTTTTCCTAAATAATTATTACAACCTCTTGATTCTACACTCAGAGTATAAGCTTGATAAGCACGTTCATTTTAAGGTTTCTATAAACTGTTGAATATACATGCTCGGGCTATATTAAAGTAAACGATAGATCGTTGTAGAGCAATAAAATAGGTACAAAAAAGACAAGTACGGATACCAATGTCACATACTAGCGAGCTAACTAGCCGCTACTGGTTCTAAAAGGCTATGCATATAAACAAGTTTAATTTATTTTTTGTATATCAGTTTGACAATCACAGGAAAAATGTTATAAAACTAAAAAAACCGTAAAGGTTTGAAAGAGAAACAATTTAATATATTTCAATAAACTTAATATATCTTCATATTAAAAACTAGTTGAGCAATCGGGGTTATAATTCTTTAAATAAAAGACAAATACAGATAAAATAAGAGTTATAGAGAAAAATCGTATAAATTATATGACTTTTATTTAACTTACGGAAAATAGACATATTTCATAAGAATTGAGATATTTTGAGCCAATACAATATTTTTATTAAATAAGTACATCAAGTTTAAATTGGTTCTATCCAACTGTAGGTTTATGCTTATCCATAAATTTTAGCTATTATTTTTATCTGTATTTTTTGCGTAAACGTTTATTTCTTTATTTATTTAAAATCTTGTACATACCTATCTTTTTATATGATAAGCTGTTGGTAATGGTAACCCTAACCATCGGTTTCATATTTACAAATTTATTAATAACATTTTACGACTCTTGAGTCTTGTCACATTGAGTGCTTAATCGATCAAAAAGCATGATTTTTCACTCAGAACTGTGTAAGAGTGTACCTCCACGTTTATTTTGTGTGTGATTAATATTGCTACATGCTTTATTGATTACGTCACCCTGATATACCATTTATAATCCTTTTAAATATTTTCATAATTTCGGGACGCGGGCCCCTTACATCGGCATTCAGTTCCAAGTACTTGAAGTTTTAAATAATTTAATTTTTATCACCTTTACGTTGATACTTAAGTATTGATATTATAATATAAATTGAGTAGATATTTAGACTTATTTTTACCAGCTCTGAATTCTGTATTTAAATAAAAAAAAAAAAACAAAGAATACTTCCCAAAAGTTTTTTAATGATATTTGTATTAGAAGTAGGTGTCATTTAGTAATAGTTTTTCATAATATGTATTTTTAAGTATTTCTTGAAACTCACAATATTAATTCTACAATTGTGATAAATGTTCCTCACTCTGTAATAATTGTATTGTTATGTAAATTTACAGACCACGCTAAATAAACGACTGCTTGTGATGATAGCTCGTCATAATACAGTTTTATGTTGTAAGTGTAAATAATTAAAAGATGTTATGTTGCTTATTATTGGACAATAAGAGTCATATTAGAATATTATATATTTATTTCTTTTGTATATGTATACAATTATTTCACAAAAGGCCAACATAATAACTAAAATGCATTCATTCTCAGCTAACTTTAGAGTTGTAAATTGAAAAATGTATGAGATTATACAAAAATTAAAATTGATGTAAATGTGGGATATTATAAATAATTAATTAATTATAAATATTAACAGTTTTAGTTAATAACATGTTTATATTTAATGAAATTATCTTACTCAAGCTATGTTTTATAATGTTTTTTTTTTTTTTTTTTTTTTTTTTTCTACGAGGGGAATCTTTTAAAGACTTCCTGCCGCGGGGGAAACGCGACAGGGGCATGTGGGATTTCCACCCACTAAACCACCTCGACGTTCTCTGCGCTGTGCGTAGACTAGTGAGCGGGAACGGCAAGCCATACTTCCGCTCACTACGCACGAGTCCCGAAAGGGACTCCGCCATCGGCAGGGGCATCAGTGGCTGACCACACCACCCCTCCGACTCAAGAGCAGCGTGCCGGGAACGCCAAACACGCCGCTCTTCCTCTAGCCTATGTTACCCGGACGCCGGTTCCCCACCGACGCCCGGAGGCTTCCTCACTGGGGAGGCAGGTCGCGAGCATAAGCCCGCTGCCTTCGACCCAGCCTTCGTCGGCGCAGCGGCGCCGAGGAGGGGTCGTCTTCCCTCACTCGTTCAGCAGCCTCCTTCTATGTTTTATAATGTTGGTTCAACTAACTAATAAGGCATCTTAGGATGCTTCATCAGGAACTCTGATCTCCATAGATATCCAACTTCAAGAATATTTGAAACAGATTTTTTTATACTGCGTACCACATCCCAAAGCTCTCGTCCTCAAAATCATTGACTATTCTTCCCTTATTCCCTTAAACATGCTCTTAGACCCTGAAGAAAAATAAAGATAAACTACGGAGACATTAATGCAACGGACACATCCCTTTTTCTGACGAACATTGCACATTCTGATATTTCTGGATATCACTCACTTTATGATAACATCCTAAGTCAAGCTCTAGCCTTTGAGATACCATTAGGACGTGTGTATTCCCCCGTGCCCCTTAGACTTGAATTTATATCGAATTTCTCTTCTTCATCAGTTAATCTTCCCGTTAAAGCTGTCAAATGTAATACTCATTACAGTAATAGAGAGGTGGAAAAAATATATAAAATAAATACCTACAACCAGATCTACACGATACTTAAAGGCTTGAAAATGATGAAGTACTGCCAGTAAAATAAAATAATTTAAAATATCACGTAAGACTTTCGCGAGTATTCATTTAAATAAAAAATATTCAATCACGTCTGCCCGTGATCACGGTTGCTGCAAAATAACCGAAACTTAATTATTATGTAGTTTAAAATAATAAAAAACGGTTAACCGAAAACATAAGTTTTATTTATGTTTAATAAATCGTCAAATAAATATGACACAAACAGAACGTAACATACGTAGTCATTGAAAAAAATATTGTTCTACACCTTACAGTATTATACATAGTTTTGTCAAACTGTGAGCTTTGAAAGGTTAAAATAGCTTGTATGGTATTCCCGAAAATATCAACTTTTGTATGAACGCGAGTGTTTCAATGGCAAGCGTTACATGCGACACTTCAAAGAGGATTTTGAATTTCAAAGCCCGGCGTGAGGCGACGGATCATAACATTCCTTGCTTATTCAAACATTTTAACTTATATTTGATAGAAGTTAAACTATTTGAAAATGATTTTGTCATTTATATGATTTTTCGTTATAAATCTATTACATTCTTAATCGATGGTTCCTGGATCTAGCAGTTGATGTATTATATTGAAACATCAATATTTTCAACGATATCAACAAGCCAATAAAATTAAATATAATATTTTTTGTTTCTATATCACAAACACTGAATACTGAACAGCGGTGTCGATGATACGACTTACCTAATAATAAATGCATTTTAAGGAAATAAGATATTGTTTTTAATATTTAAAATAAAATTGCTGTAACTTTAGAGGTATGTTTGATTTAGTATAGTCAATTATAATTGTTTATTATAATTAATTAAATAACTATACTATTTTATGAACAGGACAACTTAAGAAAATAAAAAAAAAAATTGTCTCAAGTCTCTAGATTTCTCTTGGCTTTTTAGATTCGTAAATTTTTAAAAATTAACTTAACTAATTTATTTATTATATTTAGCTCGTTTTAAATAATAGTTTATAGAGATACAAGGTGGAATATTGAAAATATTTTTGACTATTATTCAGTGTTATATAAATAGTTTCAATATAGGGTAATCTTTAAATTTGTGTTAAAACATTGTAATATAATACTAATGTAAATTCATCTTAAATGTATAAAAACTTAATGTTACACAATTAGCTTTTCAATTATATCTTCGTGAACCCTTCTCTATATATCACGGGTCGTTTGAGATTGGCTGTTAGTTGAGAAAACTGATGCTATTATAGATGACGTCTTACGTTGATGAAATTACATAATGTATATAAAGAATTCAATTAAAAGTATACGGAATGCTACAGAAATTTTCAGTGTGTCAATTTGGTTATTACTTTCGTTAAAGATGGTGGTTATTGTACAATGTTTGTTCTTTCATTTTTGTGGAATAAGGCAGAACGTTTATTACTATTATTTGTGAAGCTATATAAGTTTGTCGCCACTAGTTAATTGTGTGGATTTCTATTGAAATTAATGACATTAATTCTGAAGATGTTCAATAAACACACTAACTAAATAAATTAGTACGTTAATCGTTAATCATACTTATATAGTTAATTCACTCCCTTTAAACCTTTGAATACAACGCAGACAAATGCACCAAACTTATCTTTAGGAGACTTAACTTCGCTAAACTCTTAATTGGCAAGTATCATTTTAAGAGTTATTTTAAGTGCGCA